CTTTTTAATACTAATGTTCCTAGTAGCATGAAAATTTATCCCTTATTATTCTGCGCATTAAAACTAACTGACCTAGAGCCTGGTTTATCAGAAACCCTACTGGTCACTCATCACCAGACATAAACTTTATGACAAACTGTCAACTGACTAGAATTAGTGTAGTCAAGTGGCTAGACTATCATCCACTGGAAATTACAAAATACCTAGAAGAGGAGTGTAAGAACAAGAATCGAGAGCAAATAAATCTTTTGGTTACACTAGCACATGAAAAAGACATTGGAGATTGAAGATATCGGATATCGGATTCAAATCGCTTCGCTACTGTTGTCATCCTCGCACTATTATTTATGCGACTTCGTAATGAATATCTTAAACCTAATCTAAAATCCTAACGCACTAATTAAAATCTTGTTATCTAACCTCAACCTGCTTTTTACTGGATGTCCTTTTTAGTTATGCCAGATGCTGATCATATCAAAACTGTTATTGTATGATAAAAGCATTGCCTTCCGTCATATAAGTAAACAATTGTAATAGGCGGGTTGATGACTTAATATCGTCAGTATTATTTTCATTTCTTGTTTCAATGATTAGTCCTAATTTTTTCTCTTTCTTTACTCTTCCAGATTGTCCCTCGCTATTCTTCACTTTAACGTCACAGACTAGGTGCCTTCAAGCCATACATAAACGTTGCACTCCCGGATTGAATGAGTACATGCGGATTTGAAGTATGTTTCAGTAAATCTGCGTCTTTATAATGAAACCAAGTTTTTGTCCACATATCTTAGATGAATTCATCAGGGGACCACGAAAGACAGTGAATTCCACCAATAACGACCTCAAAATGTAAGGATTAAACATACATTTAAATCTGTTTTACTGAGTTTGCATGTTGAAAATGTTTTCTGTGTGATTTTAAGAATTAACATGACCGTCGGTGAGAACCATTTCGATTTATCACATAAAATTTAAAAAGGATTCTTAGCTACTCAACCTGAAGTATGAAGTGCATTAGAATGTAGTGTGGGTTAAGTACTACGAGCTTTTCTTCATTTTTTCTAAGAAATAGAAATTTGGATAGCGATCTTGAATTTTTTTTGGATATAAATCAGAATAGCAATCACTAGTAATGCTACAACACTATTATTATTACAGTCCTAATTAAAAAAGTCTATATTGGTTGTGTTCCTTGGTCTGACTATACCTTTTTTTCAAATAGCATTCCTGTTCATCCACTATATGATCATTCCCATTATTACTACATATCACCATATGGTTTTATACAACCTGTTTTAGAAATTTCGTCATAATTAAACAAACGTTTGCTTTCCAGTGGATGAAACATGTGAGCATCTTACAGCTGTGCTTTGGTATTCATTCGTTAGTAGCGAATGCCAAATCTGGTCACAAAAGTGTATGTTTCCTTTAGTAATGGACATAGGCAATACAACTAAATACAGGAATTCCCTATAAGGCTTTTTTTAGCTGTCTTATGAAAATATGAAGTCAGTCAGTCAGTTAGTCAGTTACAACGTAGACCTTCGTACGTACGTACATCAGTTAAAGTTGCTACACAATTCAAATCCCATAGTAGTTAAGGCAGTAGAAGTATTAGCCGTAATCGGGTTCGGCGATATTTCAAAAACAACAAGCCGGTTACTTAGTGAAACGTGTAAATGTTCAACGTAATAATAAATAATTTCGTCTGCTCATTCATCAGGTATTTATGTATGAACCACACTGGATGTCAGGGTTGATATTACTGCCTGGTTGCCCAAACTGGTGTAGGCTGGGTGAATGCCTTAACCACTAAGGCACTGCATCACTCGTTAACTTGAAATTATTCAGTCTACTGTAAAAGCAATAGCAATATCTGTAAGCAACCTTGATCAAAATGTAATGCCATTAGATTTTAAAGTGATAACTCATTAGCCAGCCGTAAAGTGATCCAGGAGTGTTCTAAACAGAATGAGGAGTTTAAATCTGTTTAGACGGACTATATATCTCCACATTAAGTAACGATTAGCAACGAATGGGGAGGAACTTGGCTGTGATCAACAGTTGTCAGTTCTTAAGATCTATCATTGAGACCAGCGAAAAATGCAAATGTCATAGAAAAGAACTGGTCAGTAATCTCTTAAGTCTCTTAACTATTTTCCCTGTGATAGTTATTTTCTTTGAACTAGACGCAATTTTTCCATTGGTTGCGGTCACCGGTCGTTTTATTTGATTAAAAGACGGAACGCAACACGGGGATCAACTAATCTTGGCTCCAATAATTATCTAACGAACCGAATTAGCAGGTAGCTTTCAAAAGCAATCGTGAGATTATAAATAGTTTTCTTCGCTAGCAGTTTGAATATAAATATACTACCCTCCTGTCTTAACTACATTTCTCGATTTCACATGTTTTTCAATATCATTTGTCAAGCCCCATGACGTTTTCCATTACCGAACATCGTACTGGAAGTCTGTATACATTTTATTTAAACATATCTTACGGCTAGCTTTAGTTTTAATTGGTTACATTAGTTTCTTATCAAGATTGGAATTGGAGCAAGTAGTCTAGACATTGTCTAAATCAACGATAATTAGCTGTATGTCCTGATATGACGATTTTGTCGCTCATTTGAAAGATATCTTGCGTTTTCTATTAATTATTCTATTCGTTACCATTCATTGCATTCTTCTGTTGTCTTACCATTAACTCCTTCATGTTAATCTACTTTTAACGCATTTGAAAGTATACTAGCGTGTAATGTTGGTTAATTGTCACTGACTTATTATGCAAGATTGCAACTTCTAAGATAAGCACCATTATAATCAATACAGAGATCGAGGTTTTTGTTAAGCTTTTTTTAAGGTCCACGCACTACTTGTTTGTAGATATCTCTTTCGTGTGTAAATTATATCAAATATTTATGAAGAACAGTTACCTAGTAAGTATGCTTTGAACTGTATTTCCCAGTATGCACTAACTTGTCTACACTTGTTAATGTGGTATGGCAACTTGAACTGAGGATACGTATGTACGAAGTTCTACGTTGTAACTGACTGACTGTGTACACTTGTCAAAGTAATAGAACAACTATTCAGTGGTTATTGATGTTATTAGATCGCATAAAAATGTTTTTTATTTTGTCAGTAATTTAATTATAATTAGGCCAAATCTATCTTACTTTTATTAGCTTATTTTCAAAAAAAAAATAAAATCTATTGTGCTGTACATAGATATTTATGTTATATCGTTTTATCTTCTTTGCAGTAAAAAATAATGACTCATAATTGCTCTAAATCTATACTTATTGGACCATCAATTTTGAATGCTGATTTATCTAAACTAGCTGTTGTTTGTGATCAATTAATTAACTCTGGAGCTGACTACCTACATCTAGATGTTATGGATGGACATTTTGTACCGAATATTACAATTGGACATCCTGTTGTGGCTTGTTTAAGAAAAAATCTCCCATCGAAAACTTTCTTAGATCTTCATATGATGGTTTCAAATCCAGAAAAGGTAGTCTTTTTTTTTGATAAATTAGTATACAATTTGAAAAAAAGTAAAATTACCATTTGAAGAATTTTAACAAAAAAAAACATTTATTGCATAATTTTGTGTTTTATAATGTAATAAATTACCGATTGTAGACAAATTAACTCAATCATTTCTCTCCAAATTCTCCAAAGAATCAACTTAATTACTTAAAATAATCATAACCAATATGCCAGAAATGAGTAGATGTATTATTTTTCACTAGTAAAGATTTTTTTTTAGTAATTGGTTAACGTGTTAAAAATTCAGTCAGTTAGATGCAACGTAGAACTTATAAAAAGCCTACATAACGACCGCGAACAGTGGTGGGTGGCGAAAGCAAAAGCGATGGAAAAGGCAGCGGCGATAGGCAACACTAGACAACTTTTCCGCCTTATCAAAGAAACCGGTATTAGGAACCCGAATGTGAGTGAGACTATCTCGGAAAAGGATGGTCTTATTATCTATTCTCAATCCAGGAGACTGGACCGATGGGCAGAACACTTTAGGGATCAGTTCAACTGGACTCGAGCCACACTTCGGTTGCCCACGATCCCCAGTCATCCTGAATGGCCAATCGATTTAAGTCCTCCCAGTCTACATGAAGTTGAGAAAGCTATAGGAAATCTAAAGCGAAGTAGAGCAGCAGGTCCTGATATGCTTACCCCTGAGATGTTTAAGGATGGTGTTCCAGTTTTAACAGTTAGACTGACCGAGATCCTAGGTAGAATCTGGGAACTGGACGTAATCCCATCTGACTGGTCTCAGCCGTTAATTGTCCAAATCTACAAGAAAGGACAAAAGTCCTCTTGTGACAATCACAGGGGAGTAAGTCTAACTAATATAGTTTCTAAATTGTTAGCCTCGATTATACTTAGAAGTCTATCTAGAGCTCGTGAAGAGCAGACTCGAGAAAACCAGGCTGGTTTTCGACCCGGACGTGGTTGTATAGACCACATCTTCACACTACGACAGGTCCTGGAACACAGACACACATTTAGACGTCCGACAATAGTCGTGTTCCTGGACCTAAATGCGGCATTTGACCCAGTGGATCGTGAGGTTCTGTGGCAGTGTCTGTCATTGAAAGGCGTACCAAAGGAGTACATTAACCTTATACAAGCTCTCTACTCGAACGCTACGGGTCGGGTGAGAGCATAGAGCGAACTGTCATCGGAATTCTTTACATCAAGTGGTGTCCGTCATGGATGTCCACTTACTCCATTCTCGTTTAACTTTGTCGTAGACATCCTCTTAGAGTTAACATTAAGCCCGTCAGATTTTTCAGGGGTTGACCTTCTACCAGGAAAGTCGCTTACTGATCTAGAATATGCCGATGACATAGTTCTATTCGGTGAAGACGCTGACAAAATGCAGAGTCTTCTGACTACCCTGAGAAACAATGCGAGCATGTTCGGGATGCGGTTCTCACCCTCGAAATGCAAAATGTTGTTTCAAGACTGGGTTGCATCGGCACCTGAACTAGTGATAGGGAGTGAAGTAGTCGAACGTGTAGAACGCTTCACTTATCTTGGGAGTCTCATCAGCGCTGATAGCCTGGTGACTGACGAAATCTCAACACGGATACAGAAAGCTCGATTGGCTTTTGCCAACCTGCGTCACTTATGGCGTAAACGAGATATCCGTTTGCTGACCAAAGGACGGTTGTACTGTGCAGCAGTTCGCTCCGTTCTCCTATATGGATGCGAAACATGGCCGTTAAGAGTAGATGTTCATAGGTTACTAGTATTCGGTCATAGATGTTTAAGAAGCATTGCTTGGTATATCGTCGTGACAACCGAGTAAGCAATGCTCTCGTTAGGAAACGAGTAATAGGTAAGGATGGCAGATCAATAGATGAAGTAATGAAACTTCATCAGTTGAGGTGGTTGGGACATGTGTTACGTATGCCTAACCACCGACTACCTCGACGAGCTTTGTTTTGTGGTGTAGGAGTAGGTTGGAAGAAAGCTAGGGGCGGCTAGACCAAAACATGGCAGCAATCCATGAAGTCATTGATAAGTCGACTGAGTCATGTCGGTAATTGTCGACTACCTGGTTGGGGTCCACGAGATGATAATAATGGATAGTTAGAAACCCTGAATGGGATGGCTCAGAATCGTTTGCAATGGCACAGGTGAATCCACTCTTTGTGTTCTCTCAAATCTTAATCTTTTGAATTCCTTATCGCCTTTATCCTTCTGTTTTTAAGGTTATTTCACTGAATCATACTTCTTGAATAATATCTTCTAATCCTAACCTCTCCCATTACTTCTAATACCTTTACTACCTCTACTACTATTGGATTTGAATTGACAATTACATCTCTGTGTGCTAATAATGTAGTATGGCAACATGAACTGATGTACTTACGTACGAAGTTCTACGTTGTAACTGAATGACTAACTGACCGACCGATAGAAACCACACGAAGTTGAGTGAAGTTGACATTTCACTGAAATGATAACATTATTATGTTATCGTGGAGTCGATATGATGCTTGAGCATACTAGATCAACATATCAAGATTAGATTATCTAGATGTATATGAAAGTAGAAGTGAGCAGTATCTCTGTGATAGTAAAAAATCAACACTGGATAACGATAAGGTTCCGGGGGGGGGGAGTGGTTTAATAAATCTATAAAACAAAGGATAAAATGATTTTAAAACACACAGTCTAGGAGTGGATCAGTAATGTTAAGCATCTAGGCTACCAAGTTTTCGGTTATATATGTTAATCTCCTTAATTATTGAACATAATAATCTCATTAAACCCCAATCAAGTTAGATAGTATCTATCAACATGAGTTGATTGAACATCACCTCTTAGGAGATTGTCACAATCTATTGTAAAACTCCTTACTATGTGTTAAATGTTAATGATTAAAATGCTGAGTTTTTGTACGTTCACATTTGTTTTTTTTCTTTCAAAAGTGGATTGAAAATATGAAAGCTGCTGGTGCAAGTCAATATACTTTTCATTTGGAATCAACTGACAATGTTATGCAGTGTATTCATAAAATACGTGAAGCTGACATGAAAGTAAGTATTATTTATTATTTATGATATGATATGATATGCTACCACTTCACCGTAGTATACAAAATGCTCAATTTCAGTGTAAAAATTCATCCAAACACTTATTTTTTTAAAATTAATAATATCACAAGAATTTAGTGTTAGAAAAAAATATTCGTAAACAATTATTTCTTTACCTTTATCTGTTAACATTTTCTTCTTCACCTTTAAGTAGTTTTATGTTGTATATGGGAGATATTGCTTAGTATATGATGTAAAATATTAAAGGAGGAAAATAGAGATTATGAGGAATTCAGAAGGTTAGAATTAAAAAAACACGCGCAAAGAGTGGATGCACCTGCGCCATTGCAAACGATTCTAAGCCATGTCATTCAAGGTCTCTAACCATTGGTGACTTTCATCTTGCGGACCCGAACCACGTAGTCGACAATTACCGACATGGCTAAGTCCACTCGTCAATGACTTAGTGGATTGGCCACCCTTAACTTTCTTCCAACCTACTCCTACACCACAAAACAAAGCTCGTCGAGGCAGTCGGTGGTTAGGCATACGCAGCACACGTCCCAACCACATCAACTGATGAAGTTTCAATGCTTCATCTATTGATTTGCCATCCTTACCTAGAACTTGTTTCCTAATAACAGCGTTGCTCCCTCGGGTGTCCCAGGGTATACGAGCAATAGTTGTGGAGAGAAGAGAGGTATGTGTGGGTGGAGGAATGATTTGATTTTGAGCAGTTCTGTCTCTCGTGCTGTTACGGGTATGAGGGCGGTTGTCACTTCCCGGCTGCCCACACCATGGAAGGTTGTTTCTTAAGGGACCTGAAAAAGAAGGTGGATTAGAATTGGTCTTAGAGACCTGAGAGTGTGACCGCAGAGCCCAAGGAACAACTGGTTGAGGCCGGTCACGCACGGCCTTTTTATAAAAGGTTTCTTGAGGATTAGCTCCGCACTTAAAAGCCCTTAGTGGGCATCCTTACCGCCGGAGATGGAAATCCGTGAAGTAGGGTGAGGTGTGACATTTTTAGGGTCGACCTTTTCTAACCCTTCCTTCCTTGTGAGAAGGCAGCATCGCTGCAGATGCTGCTTGTTGTCCGAGGGAAACACCTTACTGCTGTCACACCCCTCTGCAGTCAGCAGTACGATTTCGCCCTCAGACCTTGAGTAGCTGCGTTTAGTCTGATTGCTCTCCAATCGACCTGCCTGGCATGGTAGAACCTTCAGGAACATATGTTCCAGCCAGTATAGCTCGGTCGGGTCATCATGATAGGCAAGCCCGACCACCACGTCGAGGTAGCAGCTACGGTCGGGTGTTAATGTAGATCGTTGTTTCAACACAAATGTATCCTACATTTATAGACTTGTATGAAGTTTACCGTAACAACATCAGTTGACTTGATCTCATATCTCGCGTATACAATTTTTATTGTGAATTCTTTTTTTTTGTTTTCATTAGACTCAATATACAAATATTTGATTTGATCATTGGCCTACTTACTACTGACTAATCATTTAAAACGTATAAAATTCTCTAAAATTGAATTATAAATTTATTCACTAATACATTAAATTCTTTAATATATTTCATCTTGTCATATTTTTTTGCTTTATTTTTTTCAGGTTGGTCTTGGTATAAAACCAAATACATTAGTCACTGAATTATTACCTTATATTGATTCGGTTGATATGATTTTAATTATGACTGTTGAACCGGGTTTCGGTGGACAAAAATTTATGGCAAATATGTTATCAAAGGTAAATTAATTCTTTTTTCTGTTTTTTTTTTTTTACGATTTATTAATTTATCAATACCATTTGTTACATGCGATAAAATGAAATCATGAACACAAATGAAATTTACAAATCATGATTATATTATATAAGATTTAACAATATAATCCTAATACTTGCTCATTTCAAATGTTCTTGTGAACCACCAGTCTCTACATCATGTATCATATTAGTTAGAGTCATTTAGTAAGTCAGTTATAACGTAGAATTTCGTACATAAGTTCATGTTGCCATACTGCATCTACGCAGAGAGGCAACTGTGTTAGTTCAAATCCCATAGTAGTGGTAAAGATATTAGAAGTATTAGCAGTAATGAAGAAGATTAAGGTTTAAAGTTATTATTCAAAAAGTATAATTCATTGAGAGATAATTTTAGAAAGACAATGAATGAATGCAACTGAACCATTGCAAAAGGTTTTCAGCTATGTCATTCAAGATCTCTAACCATTGGTGACTTTCATCTCGCGGACCCCAACCAGATAGTCTACATATACCGACATGACTCAGTCTACTTGTCAGTGACTTCATGAATTTGTGTCATGTTTTAGTTTGGCCACCTCTAGCTTTCTTCCAACCTACTCCTATACCACAAAACATAGCTCGTCGCGGCAGTTGGTGGTTAAGCGTACGTAACACATGTCCCATCCATATTTATCAGCGGGAACTCCATGAAAGTCTTTTGTGCACATGTGTAAATTGAATCAACTTTGTTAATATTATGTTTTCTATTTTAAATGGTATGAAGAAACTCGTAATACCTATATAAGCGGTTACATTGACACAACGTTAATGATTTTACTGAATAATAAAAGAAAAGGCTAGTCATAATAATACCTATAACCTTTAAGAAAGAAAACCGACAATGTGACAAAATGAAAAGTGGAGGGATGAAATAAATCCTGTTTGTGTAAATGTTATAGATAGAAAAATGAGATCAAAGAGTAGCGATGGACCGATGGACCGATGGATCGAAATGATAAATGCTTTTGCACATACAAGTTTGAATCGATGCTACATATCTTTCCTATTTCACATGTAATCTACAGTTCATTTTTATGCCATCATATATGAATAATTTCAAATTCATTTAAATAATTAATTTTTTCACACTTACCTACCCTATTCAAGGTTAAATACCTTCGAGAAAAATATGCAAACTTGGATATTGAAGTTGATGGTGGTATCACTTTGAAGAATGTTCGAGATTGTGTCGAAGTATGTCTTATGTATGATTTTCTATTCTGTAAAATTTTTTTTTACTTAATGGTGGTTACAAACTGTACGCCTCTCATCAGAACTTTATTTCTTAATCGATGAAGTTAGTTATATACACTACTGTTATATCGCATAGAAAGATCTTGCTTTTTCTGTTGTTTATGTTGAGTTTTGCTGTTGCGAAAACTGCTGCTGCTACGCTGGCATTCCTCTTCTGATGTTTTTGTTGTGTGCACTAAAAAAAAGAGTCTAAACCGTCTCCCTTCATCTAAACTGTCCATTGTATCCTATGATTGCACTGAGATGTTGAAGTTTTCATTATCCAGCCAATCACCAGGAAGAACAGAAAGGTAGAGAGTGAACAGCCTTATCTGATACCTTTTCTTACTATAGAATAAGTATGCAGGTTTTTTTTAGTATAGTACACTGTCAGAATTCCTTACGATGTTTCTACAATATGCTTCCTTTTTACCGGGTCAAATGCTTTTCCATCAGTCAGTCAGTCATTTACCAAGTAGAACTTCGTACATGAGTCCATATCGCATCAGCACAGAGAATCAACTGTCAGTTCAAATCATAGTCAGGGATGTTGAAGTACAGTGGAGCGTAGAGTATATCTGCGGTTACTACTATGTCTGCTTTCACTCTCTCAGTCGATATGTTGTCTGTTCTTTCTGCTTTGCCACTCTAGCGTTTCCGAACTCAATAGGAGTTGGAGGACTTATATCATCTTGACATTCAGGTTGACTGAAGTGTTGCTCAAGGCCAATTGAACTGACCCTAAATTGTTCTGCGCATCGATACAATCTCTTGGCTTGAGAATGAATAATAAGACCATGCTTTTCCGAAATAGTCTCACTTACAGTCGGATTCCTAATACCGGTTTCCTTGATAAATCGGAACAGTTGTCTGCTGTTACCTATTGCCGCTGCTTTTTCTGTCTCCCTCGCTTTCGCTACACACCACTGTCCGCGATCATTGCGTAGGCTTTTTATCAGCTTTCGCCTAAGCTGACCTCACTCAGAGCCAGACGGGATGAGTTTTCGAGCATCCACCAGTTCAGTAGCTGCTACTGTATTCTACGGCTTCTCTACAACCTTGTGGTTTACCTTGCGAGCAGATGTCACTACTGTTTCCACAGCTTTTCGGTTATCATTCCAAGCTGTCTCGGGGTGGGCATCGCTTACTTTATGTCTGCTTAGCTGTTTTTCTAGTTCCTGATGTATATATCCTTAGATTTACTATCATTAAGTTGAACCCTAAGAGGTTTCGTTCTGGTATCTTTCCTACGTTGAGTAAGCGTCAAACAAATACGCGCTCACACTAGAGCATGGTCTGAATCTAAGCAAGTGGTCCAGAATGAGCGGCAGTCTCACTGCTGTCACACTCCTCTACAATAGGCAGCATGACTTCGCTCCCAGACCTTAGTTGGATTCAGATAAACTGGCTCATTCAGTAGTTCTTTAAAGTGTTCTACCCATCAGTTTCGCTGTTCTTCAGTGTCAGTGCCTGTTGTGCCTTCCGTGTTCTTCACTGACCTTTCAGGTTTACCATACTTTCCAGCGAGCTCCTTTCTTGTATCGTATAATCGTCTTCATTTCCTCTACCGGCAGCTTTTTCTGCTATCATTACTAATGTGTCTTCTTATCATTTTCAGTTCTCCTTTTCACTTGTTTGTTTGTTTCTGTGTATTCGGCTCGTGTTTTGCTTAATTTTTATGTTGGTGTTTCTTGCAGCCTATAACTTCATGACATGCCGAAGCTAACACATCTTTCATCCTTTTTCTGTTGTTGTTAATGACAATTTCTTCATTGAGTGAGACCTGATCACTAACGGTTTATTTATAGCGTTGCAACACGACAGCCCCCCTTACTCCAAAAGATCTCACCTTCAGTACACTTTTTGCTCTCCAACCTTGTTGATTTTAAATTTACTGCTCTGTAACCGAAATAACTACCTGAGATGGTCGAATTATCGTAACAAACTATCCAGCCAATATAGCTTGATTAAGTCATCACCATCGACTTACTGACAGAAATAATTATTGTTATTGTTGTTCAACGGGCATAACAGTATTCCAATTGGATTTATGTGTGTGGTTCTATGCTTTCATTTAATGAAATTTTAACTTTATTAGGCTGGAGCGAATATGATTGTTTCTGGTACTGAAATTACTAGTCATGAAAATCCTGCGAATATAATCAAATTGATGCGATCTAATGCTGGTCAACTTTTTCATTCCAGTATTCAATGATTCATGAAATAATTTGATGATAATGTATTTTTTGCCTTATTTTTTAACCTTTAATCAAAACAAAAATCTATGATTTGACCAAACTAAATTGTGTAAATTTTTTTTTACTTAGTTATAATCAGTTGAAAAAAAATTGAGCTAATTTTCAAAGTTTTCCAATATGTAATATATTTTTCATGAGCTAGTGTAAACCAATTTGATTTCTTCGCGCTCGATTCTTGTTCATTCGGTACAGTTTCAGGTGTTGTTCGGTAATGTCCAATGGATAGAGGTCTAGCCACTCGACTGTCTATTTCTAGTCAGATAACAGTTGGTTGTGAGTTTGTATGTCTCGGGGAGTGAAGATTGTGAGAGAGGACCGAAGTGCAAGCAACGGGGAGGGAACAGAGATGAGAGACGAGATAGATTAAGTAAGTGATCTGAGGAGATGGCAGTGATAACAACTAACATGTCTCAAGATATGCATCATGAACAGCTTGTCCAAGAGGGAGATGATAGTACGTGATTATCAAGTCTCTCCTTAAAGCAGTCCCCTGAGAGGGCTGTGGTTACCTCGGCTAGGAGAGCATTTCAAGTTGCGACGACTCGCAATGAGAAAAAGTGTGCACGAATCTGAGTATTCGCTCTTTGATGTGCAATCTTTCGAGGATTGCCTCGAGGGGAGTGGTGGTGATGCATCGGTAAGATGCTCACATTGGGATGGTTTGTCGTGTTTAATATGGTGTACGCCATAATCAGATCGCCTCTGATTCTCCTGTAGCTCAGTGGAAATAATCCCAAGAGCTGGAGTCTATCATCGTAGGGTTTATTTTTTGAACCCAATCACCCATTTGGTTGCTTGTCTCTGCACTAGATCCAAGAGATTTATGTCTCTTTTAAGCAGAGGGGTTGCGATGACATTGTGAACTTCTAAGTGTGGGCGCGCGCATACGTCTTAAACAGTTTTGATTTTGGTTAGTTAGTAATTGTCTTCACAATCAATTCATATAAAGGCAGAATAAAAATAATCAATTCGATTAACCAATAATTCCTGGCGATTTTTAAATTCGTTTTATTTAAGAATATTAATTTGATCAATGGACAAGTATTTATGGATGTAAAGAGTTTTAATACTGTACGAAGTATTCTACATGATTTTCAATTAATTTTCGGTAGTTATAACTTATAACTATTTGATGAATTCAACAATATCATGAAATTATACGCTATGATCGATTGAAAGTTTTTGTAGATTTTTAAGCAATACAAACTATGAATATCATTATGTTCACTTAGGCCGCAAATCAAGAAGAATAAATTCCAAGGTATATTGGATTTAAAATGAAATTGATAGCGTTAGTTATTGGAAACGACCCATAGAGTATGGAAGAAAGATTACATCACATCTGATTAAAATAAAAAGTTATATGTTTCCAGAATTAAAACAAAACACTAATGAAGGTAAACAAATGTTGATGGATGAAAAATCAGACCATAGATTAAAGTTTGTTGGTTTGTGTAAAAGTTTATTTGACGACATTTTAATTGATAGAGAAACAGTACTTATATCAATAACCAAATGGATTACTTAATTCATTGTACGGATATTCCACAACCATACTGTTTATCTTCGGTGGTTACCCCATACACCTGACACACTTCGAATTCACTGGTCTCGGTTTCTCACTGTGACAACTAGAATTAGCTCAAAATACAAGCTATCGATGATGCCATGTAACGAAATTGAATAAAATCATTTTTGGGATTGTCATTTAACTTCAGAGTTGTAACTCATCAATTATTAGATGAGGATTAGGAAGTTGTAAGCAGTGAATGGCCGTTTCGTCCCAACACGGTATTCTTCAACAGTACTCATGGACGACACACGTTCGTGGCAACTCAACAGTGCACTTTCGGTCTCGCAAGCCATCGCTAGAACTCCATACCATATATTTGGACGACTGAGGAGCGTTTACGAGGCCTACTGTCATCTATCGATCTACCAGTTTCGTGCAGCCCCTTACTCATTACCTGTAGTTTCTGTGTTCATTCTACAAAGTACAAATTCATTGGTTACGGCTTCTCACTGCTATACCGAGAATGAGCTCAACAAACGCATCACTAGTTCTCACATTCTATGAATCGTCATTATAAAGATGTGTATATTGTTATTTTACATCGTGTGTCAATTAATGTATGCTCACCTTTTGGAAGCTGGATAAACTAAAAATGATGAGACCAGTTCGCAAGTTTATCGTTGTTTCATAAGGTCTATCATTTTATTAATTCTCTGTTCTACTGCACTCATTGGTGTAGTTCACTATTAGGTGTTGTTATTATGTTGATATAAAACACCCCCTTAGGGCGTATAAATAATCACTAAGCCACTGCTACTAATGAAATGTTCTTTTGAAATGAATAAAACAGATATTTGGAAATTATTCACTGATTCATATCATATAATTTATGATTATTTGTTTGAGTGTATCAATTATTTAAATTGTACATTGAACATAAAATATTACAAGTCTAGACAAATAATGAAGAATGCAGGCAAAGGTGAAGGCATATGCGCATATACAAGAGAGAGAGAGAGAGAGAGAGAGAAATAGAGTTAAAAACAAGACTGATTTATAAACGAGCAAAATCGATAAACAAATAACTCATATAATTTTCCGCTTTTGAATTCATAAATATATCAGTAAGAGAAGGAAAACATCAATATCGCATTAACAAAACAGTGTACTGAGGCACTGTGCTACGAAAAACCAAATTATGATGAACATAAATCAATAAAAGAAATATTGCTTTAAAGAATTCCTAAATAAATATTTTCATTTGTGAAAAATCACTCACTTCAATATTATCCGACCCATTTTAATTTTGAATATTAAAAACATAATCAATGAGTTATCTTTCAGAAATCCTGCAAAATCCAGAACAAAGCGTTTTTCTCGCGTGCCTGAAACAAACATAGTCCAAGTGACGTTCGATTAAGATAAATTGTATCTGCCTAAACTATATCTGTTTCCTGTTTTCATTTCATCTGTTGCTTGTACCTCCATCTCCGTTGTATCACACTATCCGGGACCTGGAGCCAGTACCTTGTAGTGGAACACTTTTATGAAAAGAATACGATTGCTGAAATGGAAACATTTATTATTGTAACCAATTGTGCTAGTGATTGTTTAACTGTACTTTTTGTTCATAGCACTCTACGCGCAAACATTCTGTTTGTGTTGCTGCCAATTTCTGCTCTGCCAGTTCTGTAAATTCGCCCCACCTTCTTGTCTCGATTTCGGTGTTCTTTCATCACCGCGAAATCGCCAGCACATATATTCTTTACCATGAATCTATTTACCTTCTCTATGATGGGTTCATAAATAGTATTCAGTGGTGATCATAGTCAATCTCGACTCGATCACCATTAAAACCTGTAGTAGTTGGGATGGTTGCCAAGTTTAAACTCCTAAACGAGTTTAAACCAGAAATCCAAATATAGAATTTCGATATTTATTGATTGGAAGTCGCGTGATATCAAAATAATATCACGTGTTCAGCCAGAAAAAGCAATCACACGAAACGACCAATAAAGCCCTAGGGTTGGCGAGGTTGGCGCTTGAATTATGACTTCAAGTACAGATAAACAAAAGGTGTACAATAAAACAGTTATTGTTACACATGTTCAATAATAAGTATTTATATGTCAGCAATTATGTTTTCTTCACAAAGTAGTTCCAATAAAAACCCTTCACTAGAAACATCTGTAGTGGTATACTTTTACGAAGATAACACAATTGCTGAAATGGAAACATTTATTATTGTACTTGATTCTGACAATAATTGTTATATTGTACTCCTTTTGTTTATCTGTACCAAAGACTATCTCTCGCGTGCCAAGCGTGTTTTTCCCAATCGGCTCTTCACCTATCTGGTTGTTAGCCGCTTGTGTACCCTAGCCTCGATTTAATTTCGAAATCACAAGACTAGCGATAAATATATTTCTTCACCCAACTGCGTCACGAGACAAGCCCTCACATGGAACCCTCAAGGCAAAAGGAAAAGAGGAAGGCCAAGGAATACACTACGCCGAGAAATAGAGAAAGATATGAGAGGAATGAACAAACATTGGACAGAACTGGAGAGGGAAGCCCAGGACAGAGTTGGTTGGAGAAAACTGGTGAGCGGCCTATGCTCGATTGGGGGTAACAGGCGTAAGTAAGAAATCCAGTAAGGTCTTTTCTTTCACCTCTGGATTATCGGGATTTACACTAGTAATCTCGTGAAAGAATATATTTATTTCGATTTACAATACATCAAACGGGTTATTTGCTTTACTATTCATTCTTAAAATCCAGTACATGGCAATATCCTGCCTATTAACCTTAATTATTTATTAACCGGATTCACAGGAATTCATGTCAATAACTACCAATTTACTCAAAAACTACGTCAGCCTAGATTGAATAGATTGAAAAAACCTATTAAAATTTACATCAATAAGAATAAAGATTGATATTCGTTAGATGGTCATTTATTCGTGTGTACAACTGTAGATAATGCATTTCACAACCACTTAAGTAAAAAAAAGATTCTCCAGATAGAAATTATCTGAAAGGTGTTAATGAATACGAATAAAATAAATCTCAGTTAAATGAAAACAACTAGAAGCGTCACATTTTGAAAAATGTTAGTTCCTATTTTTGAAATTCTAAACCAATAGGCTAACAAGTAAAGTCAGTGTGTATAAAGCACAGCGATGCAGTATTAAGTAGGAGAACTTGACGAGGGTACGAGATGGAAGTTAGTGCTATCAAACTTCAATCTTTCATGAGAAAGTTTGACAATGTGTAGTAAATAGTTTAAAACACTCATGATAAAAGCCAAGGTTCTGCGAAAATCGCAAGACTGATGAGTCTTCTGATGGTCTGAACAACAGTAAATTATTGATGCATGGAGTGTTAGGACAATTTAGCAGACTGGGCGGATGATTTACGTAGCAGCAAATATCTTTCATTGCTATGCTTCCCACAATTATGGCAGCGAATTCGATAAGTACGCGTAGGTCCGTGGACGACGTGAAAATGAATACGAACAGATAAAACACAGAACGTCGTACGAGTGTATAACAGCTCAGGTTGCCGTACCGCATTCGCAAAGAGAGGCAACTGTTATTTCAAATCAATTGGCAGTAACGATAATAGAGGTA